GGCTCTTCTTTAATAATAATTATAAATAAACAAATAAATAAATTGATAAAGGATTCATTAAATAAATACGTAAATAAATAATATATATATACATATATATATATATATACTGAGGGGACCCCCCCCCAAACAAAAAAACAACTCAAAAAAATATATTTCTTCTTTTTAATATATGTATATATATATATACATATACATATACATATATACATATAAGGAGTCGCTGTGCGCAGCCAACGCAGCCTTTTCCTCCTCCACCTCCTTCTCCTCCCCCTCCTCCTCCTCCTCCTCCTTCTCTTCCTCCTCCTTTTTCCTCCTCCTCCTCCTCCTCCTCCTCCTCCTCCTGCTCCTTCTCCTCCCCCCCCCTCCCCCTCCTCCTCCTCCTCTCCCTCCCCCTCCCCCTCCTGCTCCTACATGGCTCACCGCACGGCGTCGCAACGCCGCGCAAGCACGGGCCACATCGGACGAAAGGAACACTCGGGGAAGGCCTCCCGCAATGGCTTGAAGATGGCCGAAGAGGGCCCCAAGAGGCACACATCGGCCTGCGACCATCGTGAAACGTACGTGTTCAGCATACTCGGTTACTTCGTCTTCGCAACGCCCCAGATTCCCCCGAAGAGCCCCAAGGCACCCCAAGAGAAACCGAAAAAGGCCCATGACGGTCCAAACAAGTCGTCCTGCGGGGCTCACGGAATCCCCAAGACGGCCCAGGAGGTCCCGAAGCCAGCCCACGAGGCCCCCAAGACGGCCTCAGGGAGGCCCGATAGAGCCTCCTTCGAAATCGCGTTCCAAGAAGCTTCTCCGGCAACGTGATTACCGGGGTCCCCAGGCGCCCGAAGGCCTTAAAAGGACACTCGAAAAAGGCCCGGAGGGACACAGTTCGTTGATTTGCGGGAGATATTGTTGTTCTTCCGCGCGGAGAAAAGGGAAAGGGCAAAGGAGGAGGGGGAGGAGGAGGAGGAGGAGGAGGAGGAGGAGGAGGAGGAGAAGGCTCGAGGGCGATCGCCGATCGGCGACGGTGATTGACGACGACGGTCGCCGACGACGACAATCGACGACAATGACAACAGCCGACGCCGCCGATCGCCGATCGACGGCGACGACAACGGCCACGCCGACCTGAGCCCAAAGTGGCTCGGCGCACGCGGACAGCGTCGCCGCCGTCGCCGTGGCCGTCGTCGTTGTCGTCGTCGCTCGTCGTCGTCGGTCGTCGCCGTCGACGACCGTCGTCGTCATCGTCAATCACCGTCGCCGATCACCGTCACCGATCGTCGATCGCCCTCGAACCCTCACCCCCGTTCCTCCCCCCCCCTCCCCCTCCTCCTCCTCCTCCTCCTCCTCCTCCTCCCCCTCCTCCTCCTCCTCCCCCTCCTCCTCCTCCTCCTGCAGCTCGTGTATCGACCTCCATCGCCTCTTGCACTCCTACGAGTGACCCAGGCACCAACAGGCTGGCCAGATGATTGAGTTTGCGCGACCTAAGCGGGAGATCATGGTGAAACAAGGAACGCGCACTCCACGGGCCCAGCGTGAGCGGAAGGCTGCCCCCGACGCTGGACTTCCAGAGCTGTAAGGCCGCGCTAAAGACTCGCTTCCCTGCCAGCGACCGCCTGCTTGACAATGGGTTCCACCTCCGCCCTGTCCAGGTCGAGCTTGGCGAAGGCAGCGACGTCCCACAGGATCTTGGCGGTGCCGTCCTCGAGCGGTGTGATCTGGCAGAACGGGGCCCGCTGCGCCGACAGCTGTTGATGAAGAAACGCCGCTCAGGAAAGCGTTCCTCCAGAGCACGTTGGGCCCTCTTGAGAGCGAGCTTCTTCTGGATTTGCTGCGATGGCTCGCCCTCCGCCACATGCAGCTCCTGGCGATGACTCTGACGGTCCACGATCGCAATCCGCTCCCATGTTATTGGCCCCGTCTTGCGAGCACCCAGCGCCTGCTGGACACGTCTCGCTGCGATCTGCGGTGCGCCAGCGAAACGAATACTGAACTTCTTGTCCGCAAGGGCAGAGTAAATCTTCTAATCCTCAGCCTCGAGATTGACCCTTTTCGAGCCAGGGTGGCGATGGCATGCTTGACTTCCGCGGCGGCCACCATGGGCGCGGCTCTCGCCAGCACGATGGTGTAGCCGGGGGGGTTCGAGTACGCGGGGTTGGCAGGGCGGACATCTGGTTTCTCATTGACTTATTGAGCAAGAAATGCAGCTGCTTCTCGAGATGATCGATCTTCTTGTCATTCTCCTACAGTCGAAGTGCGTGACGCTGGCCCACGTGCTCCATGTGTCCCAGCCACTTCTCCACCTGCTTGGCCAAACCTCCGCACGAGGTGCGCACCGTGGACGCTAAGCTAGTGACGGTCTCCTGCATACGGGCGTCGGCTGCCACTAGCTCTGACTTGGTGGAGTCGACATAGGCACGGATATCAGCAGGATCCTCACCAGCAGCAGTACGAGAAGACTGGGCCACGGTATTCTCCTCGGTCGTGCGGAATCATTCATCCTCGTTCGTGGCAGCATGCGCCGCACGTGCCCGACGGGCGCGTTCACGTGAACGCGTGCTGTCCCTGACCTTCTGGCACTCTTGCGAAGGGAACGTAGGCACGATCTCGATGTCCTCGAGCGCACGTCGGCGCTCTCCAGCATCCACTGCGGAAGCCATCGGAAGACGGGAAACTCGCAAGAGACTGCCTTGGTCGTGATTGCAACAAAGAAACCCACGGCCGCACGAGGGCTCACCGTGGGGATCGCGCGAGAAGAAAAGAAAGCCTGCTGCAGGCGCGCACGCCTCGGGCCAACCCCTCGGCAGCAGACAAGCACGAAACCGCAGGGCGACGGTTTCGTACTTGAGCCAAAATGGCTTGAGCCAAAATGGCCATGGATCACCTCCTCCTCCTCCTCCTCCTCTTCCTCCTCCTCCTTCTCTGCCTCCACTTCCTCCTCCTCCTCCTCCTCCTCCTCCTCCTCTGACTCCACCTCCTCCTCCTCCTCCCCCCCCTTTCCTCCTCCTCCTCCTCCTCCGGAAATCATGTTCCCGGAGAGGCTGCCGGGGACAGGATTTCGGACGATGCGGGAAAGACTGAGCCCAGGGTGGCTCTGCGCACGCGGACAGCGTCGCTTCCGTCGGCGCGGCCGTCGTCGTCGCCGTCGATCGTCGATCAGCGGCGTCGACTGTCATCATCGTCGTCGATCGTCGTCGTCGTCGATCGTCGGCCGTCGTCGTCGTCGTCGTCGTCGTCGTCGTCGTCGTCGTCGTCGTCAATCACCGTCGCTGGTCGTCGTCGCCGTCAATCACCGTCGCTGGTCGTCGTCGCCGATCGTCGATCGCAATCCTTGAGCTGTGGTCCTCCGGGCCTTTTTGGATGTCCTTTTAGAGCCGTTTTGGGGCCGTCCTGGGGCCCTCTTGGGCGTCCTGGGAACCCGGAAACCATATTCCCGGAGAGGCTTCCGGGAACGTGATTTCGAACGAGGCCCTCTTGGGCCTCCCTGAGGCCGCTCTGGGGGCCTCCTGGGCCGCCTTGGGGCCTCTTGGGCCGTCTTGGGGGGTTCCGTGAGCCCCACAGGACGACCCTTTTGGGCC